TGTCAGCCAGACTTGTTGACCCATAGAGAGTGGGTGACTACCTCAGCATAACTAGAGCTGGTTGAAAATTTTCTGATGGAAGATTTTTCTGTGGGAAAATGCCATTTCATGAAACCTGAAGCTTTACCCAGGAATGTGTTGATTTTGCTGAAACAGTATTTTCAATAACGTCATTTTGATTTTTAATTTCAAAATGATTTTTTGTTTAGACCAGCGGTTCTCAAACTGGGGGTCAGGACCCCAAAGTGGGTCACAACACTGTTTTAATGGGATCACCAGGACTGGCATTAGACTTGCTGGGGCTCGGGAATGAAGCCTAAGTCTGAGCCCCACTGCCCAGCACTGAAGCCCTCAGGCTTTGGCGCCCCCACTCTGGGCAGCAGAGGTGGTGGGGCTTGGGCTTCGGTCCCCCTTCCCAGGGTCATGTAGTAATTTTGTTGTCAGAAGGGGGTCGCAATGCAATGCAGTTTGAGAAACCCTGGTTTAGACATTTATTTTATATTATTAAGAGTATAATTTTAAAAAGTCAAAATCAAAATGAAACATTTCTCTTTTTTAAAATTTCATTCCCAAGAAATTCTGGCTTTTCATTCCAATTCAGAACAATAAAATAAAATAAAATAAAATAAAATAAAATAAAAGGTTGAAATTCCATCCTGCAGAATGGAAATGGCTGTTCCCAACCAGCTCCATAACCATAATCTTCTACACACACAAAACCCCATCATTAGCATAGAGTTAAGGTAACTCAAGAGCATCGCCTGACCAAAAAAAATACAAATCCAAGTCATCACATGTGAAAGCAACATTAAATGTGTACAACTTCATCTCTAATATCTCTCACTACACAAACAAACATCATCACACTCACAAGCTCCCCACCTACAGAACAATCCCACTTCCTTTCTATCCTAACATATATGTCCATTTCCCCAATATCACACACATAAACTTTACCACTGTACACATGTCTATGGGAACAAACCTTAATCTAATTGAGAATGGAGTTCACATTCTGACTGAGTGTGACTTGAACTGGATATGCCCAATCTCCACCATACTCTTTACCCTCCCTCTCCATCTCTGTGCCTCTCCCATATCATACAATTTATGTCTTAAGGGGAGAAGCTCCATCCGTAGCTGAGCTCTCTGTTACAATTTTTATGTAATTTTGGCTGCAAGTTTCTTTCCTCAGCTGGTAATAGAGTCTAGAACATTGTAAGGGGGAGGGCAGTGATGGAGGGATATTAGAGTCAAAAATGTCTACGAAATCAGCTGGCATGGTTTTTAATTGCCATGTAGACATACCCTAAAGGAGCAGAAGTAGCAGCTCCACTATGGTAGGGTTACCATACGTCCGGATTTTCCCGGACATGTCCGGGAAAAT